TATTTTTTTTACTCAGACAAGGTCTCCCTGAGTCACTTTGGTGCCCTGTTTGGCTCAGACTCTCCCCATCTGCCTCAGCCTCCCAGAGTGCTGGGGTTGGAAGTGTGCACTCCACACCCCACGAAGCTGAAACATTTTTTAAACATTTATTAAATCTTCTGAAAATAATAGTAATAGATTGCATGTTAACTTAAATGATATGTTTTATAAAAAATAGCTGTATTTCCGAAGCCAACACTGTGGTGAATAAGGTAGGCTAGTTCTGCATTTTTTATTTTTATTTTTTTGTCTTTTTCCTTTTTATCGGTACCGGGGATCGAACTCACGACTGCTTGCTTGCAAGGCAGGCGCTTATGCCACTGAGCTAAATCCCCAGCCCCTTGCATTTTTTATTAATCTCTTTGATGTGTCTTTGGATAGAAAAGCACTAGGTTCTTACACAGTATTTACTTCTGCATTTCAATTTTTAAAAATATGTTACTTTGGTTAAAATGTGGGAATAAAATCTGTCCTCCCCTGGATATGTAGTTGGAAAAGTAGAAGTATTTTATTAGCTTTTTTAGGTACTTGTAGATATTCTTTGATATTACAAAAAAACTTGACAAGTGATAATTTCTTTAAGGTTAGTTGTAGTAAGAAACTTCAAACCATATCAGTGAACTCTTAATATTAGTACATTAAAACCCAATAGTCATCTTATACTTGGATTATTTTATACTCATGTATGAATTTTTAGTGATATGGAAAATACTGAATTATGCAAGTGTTATAAATTTTGATACATTTTATTTTACAATATTTAAAAATGCATTTGTTACTATCACTACAGACATCATTAGAAAAAGTTTTAACTTTTGGGAAACTGTCAAACTCATCGTAGTGGATGCACTTTTCTAAACTTGTGATTTTGGCTTGAAAGCTAAAAGCTAGACTTCTATCTTTAGTAACAAATACTATCAGTTTTTTTGTTGTTGTTTATTTTTGGTATTTTTTTTAATACTAACCTTGTTTCATTCATTGTTAAGAAAATGTTTGCCAAATGTCTCAGTTCACATAATTATTTAAGCAAAAATAATTACTTAAGTAAAGATGGTGCTTTGGGAAGAGAGGAGCTTGGGACCCAGACGTGAAAGTGCTTTTCCAATGACACCCATTGGTTTCTGAAGCAGCAAGGGGCTTTCTGAGCACCTCCATTTTCCTCAAACAAACACACAAAAGAAGATTGTGCCGAAGGTCAAGATTTAATAAAATTAATCCTTATCCTAATTCATCCTAAGTGAAGCTGGCATACTTTTTAACTGTATGTGAAGCTTTATTTATTCATACAACACAAAAGCAGTTTGCTCACCAGCACCCTGTATTAGGAGCTACAAACATCAACAAAGTAGGAAAAAGAATCATATGTCAATGTTCTTATTAAAAATAATTCTGACCTCATGGACCCTAGACAAGCATCTCAGTGTCCCCCAAAAGTGCCACGCTACACTAAAATTTTGTCTGTGGGCTAAAGGAGCAGGGCTTCAATTGTGTCAGGCCCCTGCCTCTTGTCTGCTAGGCAAATGGTGTACCCCCAGCCACAGCCACACACCCTGCCCTGCTGGCATCCCCGGCAAGGACCTCGGCACATACTGCCCATAAAAGTGGGGCTCAGTGAAGCAAAGCTCCCCTTAAAACTATTGAAAGGTGAGGGCTTTGGTAGTCTGCAGCATTGCTAGAGCAGCCCATGTGAACTAACCCTTCTCTCCAATTAGCTTAAAGCCTTGCTGTTTTTTTCTTTTGTGTGTGACTTGAAACATATAATGCCACATGTACTGTTTGGGTTGACTGCTTTCACCAAAGTCCTGTAGACTTTCCATACCAATTGACAAAACTACAATTGAGGTTTTTATTCTATGGCTTGGAGAAAAGGCAACTTGTGTTCTGGTCCCAATGTGTGAATGCAGCACCATTCCTCAAACTCACTTTCCATGGTGAGAAAAATCTCTTTCTACATTTCTCCCATTTCCTACTGTTCCTCAAGACAAATCGTTAGTCTCAAAGGATGCTTGTCGTCCTCCACAAAGTGTCCAATTCAAACGTGGCATCCTTGTCTCTCTGTCAAGTTGCATTCTGGCAGCTGCCTTCTCCCCTTGTTCCCTTCTGGAGCTGGAAATCAGGCAGAGGGGATGACAGGTTCTAAAAGGTCATTTCTAAATAAAGAATTGCCTGTGCACAGGGAGTCCCCAGCCCGCCCCACCCCCATGCCGAGAATTGAACCCGGGGCTTTGAGCCTGGGTGCTTGCTAGCCAGCCGTCTGCCACCAAGCCACATCCTCAGTGCTGTGCGAGGTGGCTTCAGAGACGTGTGCTCGTGTGCTCCTGGGAAGGTACGTGGGGAGAAGGGCAGAGAGGCTCCTCGCCAGACATTTCTGAAACCTTGGTTTTTCTTTATTATTCAGTGTGTATGCTTTTACAAATAACTTCCTAGTACTGATAATAAATTGGAGGCATGTTACAGTGCGGTGGAGGGTACCATGTTCCATTTAGTCAGGAGGAATCAGCTTTCAAGCTCTGTTGCACACAAGGTAGCCACAGTTTGTTCATTGTATATCCGCGATTGTTAAGAGAACAGATTTTAAATGTTCTTAGCACCAAAAAGATAAATATGTGAGCCGATGAGTGTGTTAATTACCTTGACATCATAGCTTCACTTATGTCAGACGTTACCCTACATTGTGCCACAGAAGTATATGCAGTTATCATCAGTCCATTAAAAGTAAAAAATTTAAATAAAAAAATTGTGGCACCAATAAATGTAGGCTCTTCTGTCTCTTTAGTTCACCAGGAGCAAAAGGTCACTGACTAGGTAAAGTCTGCATCAACTTTGTTCTTTCTTTTTCTTTATTAGGAAATGATTTCTGAGATAGTTTATGCAAGGTACCATTAAGACTCTTTTTCTTTTTCCTAAAGGAAGAAGTAAAGGAAATAAGATAAAGAATGGCTAGGAATGTTGACTGGGTGCCAGGGAGTGTTATCGGCATTTTAATTGTCAAGAACTTTCCGTTTCATGTGTGGCTTATTATTTAAACTCAAGTGCCACTGTTTGCCCAGCGCAGTGAGCTGTCCTTTCCTGGCCGCCTCTGTCCAGAGAGGCTGCTTGTTCCCGTCGTGGGTGCAAGAAAACCCTGTTCACTCTCTCTCCGTGCACCCTTGCAGGCTTTGAGAGGTGAGCGAAATTTTGTTTCTTAAAGGACCAACGCTGTATGAAATGTCTATATTTAACCACTAAGCCTGCCCCACGCTTAGTGAGAATGAGCTCTTGTCTGACATCTCTTTGCTTTCATTTCCCTTTCTTCATGCTTGTATCAGGTTTCTCATGATTTAAAACAAATGCACAGAAGCCAAACAGTCAGTGCAGAATAATTGCAGGCCTTTGGTGTTCAGCATGCACAGCGATCCCCGAATGACCCTGAGTGATTAAGGAAAGCACACCTAATTGTTCATATCGACTTCCCAGAGCCCAGGACCTACTGCAATTGGCTTTTTTCCTTACAGACTGTCTTGCTGTGGACTCAAGATTTTAAGTGTAAATTTTTTCTTCTTGTTGAGCCTCTTTTTCTCTCTTCTTTTCCTCCCTCTCTCCCCCTCTCTCGCTCTCTATCTCCACACACACACACACACACACACACACACACACAGTGTAATTACAGGCTGCGGAGTGAAAAGCATTAGAACTGTTTACAAAACATCTCATAAAGTTTTTAAATAATAGAGGTGTGTGTTTATATAAGACTAAGTGATAAACAGTACACATTCTTTCTTCTTTCGATGCCCCAGGTCCCCTCCAGAATTTAGAGCATGGAGTGACTGATGGAGCCCTTTCCTCCCACGGTGTGGTGCTTAGGCTTCACAGGCTCTGCTTATTGATCAGGTGACAATTTATTGTTGCAGATCAAAACACACATGGTCAGTTGTGTGCGGACAGAATGGCTGCTGAAGCAGTCTGCTATCTAATTAATTTTCAGTCAGTTTAAATTCCCAGAAAAAGGGTTCCTCATGACATTATCAGAGAGAAAAAAAATTTTTCTTAATGAGCCCTTGCTATCATTCCGAAGTCCAAAAGAAAAGCTTTCCACAGCTTAGGGTTCCAAAGTGATAGGGGCATTTTTCCAACCCTTTCAAAGTCTTTCTGCGCAGCTTTGCAAAGATTTTGCAGCCCTCCCCTCTGGATTTCATGTATTTATTTTTTGATGTGTGAGGGCAGGCACCTTGGAGCCAGTCAGTCATCCTGCCCTGCAGGTTCAGATCTGCTGCGGCAAAGTGAACCTGGGGGCTGTCCGCATTCCGGGTCTGGACAGCAGGCAGCCAAGTGACTGACAGTCTCGGGGACTGTGCCCATCCAGGCGCCAGCACAAGAGCCCGGAAAACAGGCTGGACAGAAGGACCAGCCTCTCCTGCAAGGAGCGCCTTTCCCCCTGGTGATTGATGGGAGACACTTAGGAGCTTTTTGGGGGCTGGAGGTTGTTCCCTCCGTCACTCACTATGAAGTCTTTGTCAGCAGAAAAGACTCTGGTGGGTAATGAGTGACATAATGCAGATAACAAATGACAGCTTTGTGCTTTGCTCTGCTTGATAGGTGCTCAGTGTCTTATGCAGGTGAGTTAACCTCCCCCGACATGCCCCTTGCACCCCCTTTCCTGCACACAGACACCCCAGTTTCCCAGACAGAGCCGACACTTCTTTGTGCAGCATTAGTTTTGCTGGGAGTGTTTAAAGTACTGTGCAAGTGTGAAGGGGGTGATGTGCTCACACTGGCTTATGGAGCTGATTAGGAAATAAATATTTGAGTCATTTTCTAAGTCCTGCATGTTTCCTTCCATTTCTTTTGTAGAACAGAAGAAAAAGTTACATAAAATACGTTCACACCTGATGTGCTGTATCAAGAGACTACTTCACATCAACAATCTGCTTCAACCCTCTTGACTGATGTTGCTTTTGTATTTTTTTTCCTCTCCCTTATAGGACTCCATCTGCAGCAGTTCTGAATACCTCCGAGTCTAGAAATTGATTATTCAACCAGGATACCTAATTCAAGGTATTAGCTCTTGTCAGAAAGCTTTTACGTTTGAGCTCTGTGCTGCAAATTATGCTTTGGCATTGAATTGAAATAGGAAAAGTTGGACAGAGAATAAAGGAGAAAAGTGAATTTGCAAAATAATCAAGTGCTTAAAAAACTACGCAGCGCTTTGTGAGGGTTTGCTGCTTCTGACTCATTTACAACCCTTCTGCCAGTGGATGTGCCAGTTCTGACTTCTTTGCAGGCGTTTTTGTGCAGCTGTGTTCAGGGCTTGGATTTCATTTTGGTTTTTCCCTCTCGCTTTTTCTCTTGACTGTCCAGACCACCAGAACTCGGGAGACTGAGACATTTTGTCAGTTTTGCGACACTGGACCAAGTACAATGAAGTATTCTTGCTGTGCTCTAGTGTTGGCTGTCCTGGGCACAGAACTGCTGGGGATCCTGTGTTCGACTGTCAGGTCTGCAAGGTTCAGAGGACGAACACAGCAGGAACGGAAGAACATCCGACCCAACATTATTCTTGTGCTCACCGATGACCAAGACGTGGAGCTGGGTGAGACACTGGATTCTTCACTTGTTAGTTCTTTGTTCTGATGCTGCTCAGAGCCTCAGCCTTGTCAGGGACACTTAGTGGGCACAGAGGGTTTATTCTTACTGGCAGTGCTGACGCTGATAGTCTGGTGTACACAGTGACCCTGTATGGGTCATAAGGCGTTTGATGTGTGTCTCAGCATTACTTTTCTGAGGTTAAGCTTTCAAAATTATCTGAAGAGGGACCCAGGAGAGAAGGAGGAAAGAGGATGAGAAAAAACCGATCGTGCACCTTAGAAACTCTGGATCGACGAGTTTATAAAACATTAGGCCAAAGTTATTTCAAGGAGTATGAAAATGGGACAGCCTGTGCAATTCACATGAAGGTAGACTGACACTAAAGAAACTTTCAGTGATTATTGTTTGTAGAATGAGTCACTTGTTCATAGTTTGTTATAAAAACGGTTAGATAGTTGAAAGCTACAGTATTCTACATGTACTTGGTAGCAATTTACCTACCATTACCTTAGGGTTGGTACTTTTGGAATTAGCTCCCCTGGGATAATTCTAGGGCTTTCAGAAACTGCCAAAATCTAGTGTTTCTAATTCACCTCCTGATTGGGTTTCTCACCTTCTCAGCTCTTCATCCACCTCCTCTTCCTTTCTCTTTTTGTTACTAGGGATTGAATCCATGCCAGGCAAGCACTGTATCACTGAGCCATGTTCCCAGCCTTTTTTACTTTACTTTGAGACAAGGTCTCACTGAGTTGCCCACGCTGACCTTGGTTCGCCTCCTACGTAGCTGGGATCATAGGCAGGCGCCACCACACCATGATTCTTCCCTTCGTTAACTTTCCATCTAGGGTCTTGTTCACAAGCCTGTGGCGAGCTCTTCCAGTGCACCCTAAGGCAGAGAGCCTGCTCCACACTATCACTTCCTTTCCTGGACCCTTCCTTATTCTTCGGCACCCTCAGGCACGCTTACCCATTGCGTCCAACTTGGACGTGGGCAGCACCTTTGAGACCTGGTGCCGGCAGAGCGGCTGGGCTTCTTTACCAAGCTCCCGTGCTCGAGTTCTTGACAAAACCTCCCTGCTGAACTTGATCTGCATGCTGATATGCTCTGATTTCCAGTGTGAAGCCAAGTCATGGAATTACACAGAGTTAACAACTGGAGTTGGGAGGGAAGCAAATGCTCAGAGAGCCAGCAGGAGTCATAACGGTTGAAGTTGATTTGCAAAATCTGCTCTCTCCATTCACATTAAAAAAAAAAAACAGTCGGGCTTTGAGTTCTTGCAGGCAATAGCCAAGATGAAAGGTCTTGCACATACGACTCTGGAGTGTGTGTAGGATGGCTTCACCTTGCTGGACAGCCGTCACAGTTGCTGAGATCAGTAGACTGCCCTTACTCTTCTGTGGCTCTGTTTACTCCCAGATTTGCCCTAACTGGGTTGCCCACCTCTGTGCCCTGCAGACTTCTCCCCACCATCCCACTGTCCACTCCACTGTGACAGGTACCCTTCATGCATCTGGTCACTCTCATTGTCTCTCCGGCCCCGATGAGTAAGCCTCTCTGCCCTGCAGGCGAATGAGCTCAGCGCTGGCCAGTCTCTTACACTATTTCCCTCACCCCAATTCCCTCTTTATAGAACTGATGTTCACTTTCCTGGACATAGCTGACGGCTCCATCTCTCTCACCTCTGGCCCATGTTCTGGTGCATGCAATCTCCTCTATCTTCTCCACCTCACCAGCTCTTCTGGACCCATTTCAGTCTTCCCACTTTGGGATTTGGTGTTCCCACAGGGTACCCCCCCTCTCCTCCAGCAGGATTGTGTTTTTCTTCATACTCCTGCACATACTCCATCCTGTCCCTCATTCTGAGGTCCCCTCCCATGCCTTTCCCTTCCACTTAACTGCAACCCACTCGAGGGCAGGAGTATGTTTTCTTTGTGTTGCAGTCTCCATTTTGAGATTATCCTGGGAATATAGTAAGTGCTCAAGAAACCGCTGGGGCCTGAAAAAGGCTAAAAGAATTCCCAGAAATGAGCACAGGTGTCCCTATCCATTGTGAACTGCTTCATCAACAAACAGTCCTGTCTTTAAAGGTAGATTAAGGAATTGTTAGGAAAAAATATTGTTAACAAAATTCTGATTTTCAGCCTTGTGCTAGAGCACATTCGTTAAATATTTTCTGAGTAATTACCATGTACTTGGATTGGGGAAAACATGTAAATACAGTGGTGAAGGCTGTAAACCAGGCTCACTCAGCCCAGGTGTTTTCTGTGTGTTTGCCTTTTCTTCCTTCTTTGGTTTTTCTAGGCAGAAAACAAGTCTTCTGGATGAAACAGCCCACATTACTTTCCTCAATATTTGTGCATAAGAAAACTGAGACTTAGAGAAGTCAGTTAGTTTGCAATAGGCTAGGAAATGGTGACACCAGGACCTCTATTAGTGCAGGTCTCCATGGCAGACATTTAACCATTTGGTGTTCCATCAGTCAGTCCATCAGCAAACATTTAGTGAGCCCTTACTAAAATCACCTGTCCACGCATTGTTCTGCTCTGGAAGAGAGAAAGAGAGAGAGACAGAGACGGAGAAACAAGGAAGCATAAAAAGGCTCTTATCTCCTCATAAGCTTAACAAGATGACTACCAACCAAACAACCCATGGGTCAACAGTTTGGCAGTCTTCTTCAGCAGAAGTGTGATGCTTTTGGAGTGATTACTACTTGATCAAGTTCCTTACCCATCCTTCTATAATGTGCTCATAATTCTTCTTGAAACTTCCTGCTGTAGATCTTGGTTGGTTTTGTTTGTTTTTACCCTCTTAACCATTTTTAAGTGTATAGCTCCATTGCGTAGTGTTTAGTAGACTCACATTGTTGTACACCAATATCTGGAGTTCTTTTTCTTAGACAGAGTCTCACTATGTAGCCTGGACTGGCCTTGAACTTGTGGCAATCCTCCTGCCTCACCCCACCCCCTCCCCCAATGCTGGGGTTACAGGTCTGCAATACCGGAATTCTTTATGACTGTTGTGTAACAGCCTCATGATTCCCCTGTGTTTTAACAGCCCATATTAGGGCTGACTAATATTCTCTTCCATGGGTGTCATGTATACCACATTTTCTATCCATTCATTTATGGCTGGAAATTTGAGTTGCATTCTCATTTTGGCCCTTGTGAACAATGCTGTATGGATGTGGGTGTACAAAGACAGTATTATCTCTTTAAGACCTTGCTTCCAATTCTCTTGCAAAGGAAAATTCTACCCAAAAGTAGACTTTCTGGAGCCTGTGATGAATTTATTTTTAATTTCTTGGAGAACCCCTTGCTGTTCTCCATGGCAACTGCAACATTATTGATTCCTTCCAGGTGTGAACAAGAGTAAAGATTTCTCCACATCCTCATCCACGCTTGTTATTTTGATTTCTTTTGTCTGTTTTCTAGTAGCCATCCTAAAGTGTATGAGGTGGCATTTGTCAGTTAGGTTTGTTTCGTTTTTCACTTACATGTAATTTTGTTTGCCAAGTGCTTTAATAAACCTTTGCTTCTGTAAAATGTTGCACCTGTACTGCTGCAGGCAGTTTTGGCTTCTGTGTCTCCAGAAGGCTATAGCAGACTTAGAAAAGACTTAGAAGAACAATTATAAAATTTTTTAATAGAACACTTTTCTTACTGGGAAAGAATGAAACAGTTCTACCTCTTTGTCTGGAAAGACAAAGGGTGAGCAGAGCTATAATCAAAGTTTATGAAATGAAACTGGGGGGGAGCGGTGGTTCAGCGTGAGGAGGGGCCACTCCCTCCACTTTAAGGACAACTAAAATAAACTAGTGCTTCTCGAGGGGACTTAGGCACATAAGGAATCCATTAGTAATAGTGCGAGGCCCTCCATGTGAGTGTACTTTATCATCTCCCGAAGAATATTCATTCACATGATATGAATGAACATTGTCATCCCGCCCACGTTGGATGGACAGGACCAGAATCATCATCTTGGGGAACATGGTCTATGCAAAGCCTGATGACTCACTCATGGTGCCCTGACTTCTAAGTTCGCTTTTTCCAGAACTTAAAAAGTAGTTCCTCTGATTGTGCCTTCCTCCATAAATAGTTCAGATTTTTAGGCCAAGATAGTGAGTGGAAATACCCCATTTTTTTTTTTAAACTCAGGGAACATACATGGAAGTGACAGATGCGACGTTCAGGACAGTAGTTTCTTCTGAGGCAGGAGTGGTAACCAAAAGCGTCCACAACTTCAATATCTTTATCTTAATATTTCAATATTTGCATACTGATGTATGTGTCTATAAGAAATATAGTCATGTTTTACTTGGTAACAATAGGAGATGTGTTATTCATTCTTTTATTCCCTATGCTTGAAACATTTTATGAATTAAAAGACAGCCTGAAATTCTCAATGGACTCCTTTAACTTTCTGAGACTATAATCAACAAGAAAGAGACTGGGCTCTAAATCTTTCCCAAATGGTCTGGTAGTCCCACTCTGAAAAGCAAAACGTTGTGTGAATTGGACCATTGTTTTGACTCAAGTGTGGTGTTTCGTACATTGCACTGATGCTAATATCACAGCAGCCCTGACCTGATGCCTCTTAAAGCACAGGTGGAATTAAGCCGCGAGTTCCTGGAGATTCTTTTGTTTCTTTAAAGCAGAAGTCAAATACCTGGGTGTCTAGATTGGAGCTCGCCCACAGATACGTTGTTTGACTACTCTTTTTAAAAAAAGAGCCACTATTTTCAAAATTAGGTGGTTCCTGTTTTTTTTTAATCATATATATATATATATATATATTTGCACTTATTTTGTGCTTAATTTACTCCTATGCCATAAGTTTTTATTTGTTTCTTCAGTTTCTTCTGGGATGTCTTTTTCTTCTGTACAATTTCCTCCTCTGTTGTAGGAAGTTTGTTCCTTTTCAGTACGGACCCTCTCATTGTGGCAAGGGGAGCTCACATGTGGGTGAATTGGGCTCTGTAAGTACAGCAGTGCATCCTGGGTGCT